TTTGATTTGGTCTGGGTGTTTCGATAATATGTATGTATTTACAAAAAAAAAAGTATATATGTATTTATATCAGTTGTCTAGTACCCATAGTACAAGCTCTGCTTAGTTTGAAACTAGGTGGCGTTGTGTCAGATTTTCGAAATGACTATTGTAAAATTGGAAAAAATTGATAAACAAAAACTCTCGTCGCCTCCTTAAGTAGATATTGAAGCTAATATAAAAAAACACATATATTTATTTATTTTTATTAAGCAAATCAACAGCATAATTACAACATCACATAAGATATGCATGGCACTTAGTATATATAAATACACTCACAAACAAAAGCTAATTAAATACACACAAACAAAAGACAAAAACGGAAAAATGTTTTTTTTATAAAAGACAACAAAATTACAAGAAGAATTAGGTTCGGGACATGGCTTCGTATGGAATATCTGTGTGATGTGATTTAATTGAGAAGATATCAATGTTTTCGACTAAGGGAGCAAACTACGCAGGACAACAGCACTGCAAAGAGAAGGAAAACTTGAAACAAAACCGATATCTCTATGATCCGATATATCTATCCGATATGATATGATATATCTATCCGATATCGATATGAAAACTAGATTGACTGATAGAATACTTTCATAATTTTTTTGGAAATACATATATATTATACATAGAAAACACCCAAACCCCGAAACAAATATTTGTAGATCATACAAATATTTGGTCCGCCATTTTTATACCACCATTTTTATACCATAATGCATCTATACCTTTCATTTTTATAATTTGTTAATCATAGACGCTTTATAAAAAGCACTCACTAAATTATCATAACCATTCAAATCAAAAAGAAAAAATAAAAATGTAAGAAACGTCTTAATTCTGTACACTCCCGTCGGCTTGTCGAAAAGCTGGATGTTTTCTTATTAGACGAAACAAGCTATGAAATTTAGTTTAATTTTAATTAAGTTAATCAAAAGAATATTTAACAAAAAACAGTCCTGCGACTACTAAAATAATAATAATATTATTTCGGACATCTAACACGCAACGCCACCTAGTTTCAAACTAAGCTGAGCTTATACTATGAAAGCTAGATTGACTGATCATCATCATCATATATGTGATGATGATGATGATGTGAAATACATACTTATTATACTTAGAAAACACCTAAACTCGGAACAAATATTTGCAGAGCACACAAACATTTGGTCCGACGCGGGAATCGATACCGAGACCTCAGGACAGCAGTCGCGATATACCTCGAAATGTAGGGAAAAATCTAAAATTGTTCGAATGTCAAAAACAGATAAAAATGAGCTTGTCCTCCACTACGAGAAAAGGGTAGGACTTATTTAGTGTTACGTATATGTACCAGAAATAACTTTTACGACTGGTTTTCTGTGATTTATTAGTTAGATATTTTCAAAAATTCCTTAACTATTTACACAAGTATTGTGGCAATATGGAAGGTAACCTGCTACTCAGAACTAATCACTTATGCGTTGCCAACCAGTGGCTCCCAAAGTTGTTTTGAGACGTAGAATTCTGAAATAATCACGCCCCCATTCTATACTCAGACCTCAGATTTAGTACACATAAGAAAAACGCGTCTAAACATAATAATATCATTAAAACATTTCAAATAAGCATATTTATATTATTACATCAGTGTACCCAGGCCTAAACCATTGCACATTTTTTTTAAAAAATTACATGGGCTCAACCAAACCCGTAATCCTTGGTCATCGAGTCAAGTGATAATCCACAATCCATATTAATAAGAATATCAAAATAAATACATAAATAATACCTACCACCGAAAGGGGTTTTTTGACTTTTACTCCTTTCCTACTCATTACCTAGCTAGGAGGACATGGCTTTGACTACTGATTGTACGCATCTTAATTGATTTCTGTGTAAACTAATGTATACAACAATTGTCTTACGTAGTAAAAAAAAATTATTCAAAAAGAAAAACACAAATCTTGAACCTTTCTATCTTCAATATTCGCCAACATTTATTCTTATAAAAATAAGGTCTATTCGATATTATACCTTCCTGCCCACCAATTACAGTTCTCACACATCATGACGAAACAAGTTATAACTCATTTGTCTCTATGACGAGGTCAGAAGACACAACAATAGTTCTCAATGAGAATTGTCACAACTCTAGTGTCATACTGACTATTGTCACAATGACGCTCCATTTGGAACGATATTGTGAAATACTAATATGTGTTAGACCTTCAACAAATCGATCATACATGACACTGTTCAAGCATCGATCACGTCACATTCAGTTTATTATGCTCAGCAACACGGACTATTTTGCTGTTTTTCACGTATGATAACCATAAGAGGATATCACAATAGCATGTGGGGGTCATGACCCCCTCGGCTTAGAATGTTTGGACAGCTTCTGTTAAGATATCGTGCCGCTACAAACGAACATTACATTACCCATCAAAGAGTCCATGTACACTTTGAAATTGACAGAAAATACAGAACGGAGGAAAATGCACTCATCTGTATTCTGTTCCAAATCGGTTGCCGCCAGTTGGTTTAGATGAGTGATTTTTTTGATTTCTAAATGACAATAGAATATAAAGAAAATGTATTAAATTAATATATGCTAAAAAATGCTTGACAAATGTCTCTTTATGCTCAACAAAGTAAACATTGTTAGCCAAACATCTATACCAAACCTACTCAAATATTACGGATCTAACGTCGACACTTTATAAAAAACGTAAGAAAATGGCATTTTTAAATATTACCTGATGATTAATAAAGTGAACGAACGAACGTTCTTTAATATAGTAAAGTACTGTAACACGCACTCCATTCAACTTTTATAGGCAATACAATGCTAAGTACACGAAACTTACTTTCCAATTTCGGAAACTATTGGGAGTCGTCTATTAGTTACGTGAGATGATACATAAAAATTAAAAAAACCATAACCATTTCGCAATGTAATGAAGGAGTGCATGAAAGCAGATGTCGAATGATCAAGAAGAATGGAATAAGAAAAGTCATTGCACCGACCGCAAATAAATTTGGGAAAAGAAAAATCAGAATCGCCTGATTTCCCTTTTCCCAAATTTAGACATCATCATCAGCCTTTAATAGTCCACTGCTGGACAGAGGCCTTTCCTATCGGATGGTAGAGGATTTGTTTCAAGTTTTCCTTCTCTTTGCCGTACTGTTGTCCTGTGTAGTTTGCTCCCTTAGTCGGCTCTTACGACACCCACGGGACGAATTGGGATGGTAACCCTCCGTAATGTTATTCCATCACCACACGGACAAATTGTTATCTCATAAAAAAATTATGTAACGTACAGTTTTAACGTTGAATATAGAGAAACTGTTTTAACTTGACAGTCCGCTACAATATTTTTATCTTCGTACAAAGCAGAACACAAGGCTAGATATACTTATTTATTCATCAGTGTAAAATCTTTTCGTCTATCTTGCAACTAAATCATGGTTTATCACTTGCTATGTGAATACTTAGTTTACAATTTACACAATGTGAGTTCATTGTTTAAGAAAATTATTGTTTGTTATTGTTTTTAACCAACTGCATCAGAAGAAGGGTTGTTTTTCGAATGTATGTATGTATGTGTCGTGCTCTGTAGCTCAACAGCTTGTTGATTATATCTTGTAAGGTGTAGTCAGATTCGTCGTCGTAATGTTAAGAGTGAAACTGGGTAAATAAAAATTACAAAAATTAAAATCGAATGTTTGAATATTTTAAATACTTTTACATTGGCACGCAGTCAGGTTTTTAAAAAAAAAATTAATACAGATATAAACTCACTTCTTTTTCCCGCAAAGTGATTTGAAGTTATAACAATTTATGACATTCATATACGGTTGCCTGATTCTCTACTAAGTGGAACCTTTACTATAGGTATTAGACTGCTGATGAATATATTGATATATTAACTAAATTACAACATAAACATATGCATGTTTTAGAAACATTACAGACAGAATAAGTAATCTTTAATATTTACGCCTAAATTTTTTTATTGATAACTTATATCCTTTATATTATGGTTTTTATTTTACTATTTTTGGTGTAGTTTACACATTGTTTTTTAATTTCCATTACCAAAATTGTAGTTAACTTAACCGACTGCGCCGAAGTAGATGGTTTACCTTGTTAGATACCTGATAATACGTACATGTTTTTAATACATCTGCAGTTTAACTGTCATAGATTTATTTTTAATTATTCATCATTTTCGTTATTACACCATCTACTTCGGCTCAGTCGGTAAGGTTTACTACAATTTTAGTAATGAAACTTATAAAACAATGTATAAATGACTAAAAAACAGTAAAAAAAACATAAAATAAAGGAAATAAGTTATTCAAAAAAAAGGGCAAATTTCGGCATTTTTTATAATCTTAATTACAACCCCTTAAAGTATTTAGGTCGACGTACCCAGTAACCCTGTATATATGCAGAATACACTCGTACTTGTATTAATTACAAATGATGTTTAAAGTTACCGCGAATACAAAGGTATTAAGCTCACACAGCACGAACTTAATTCTACACGTGTCTTGTCTATTTGTGCTAATATTATTCAGAGTTAGGCAAACTTAGGGAAAACCGTGATATTATGGTACTCACTTGACAAGCAATAGAGACATCACTTTCGTTGAGTTATTCAAGAAGTGAGCCAGATTAACTGGACACTTTCGTTTATGTGAATGGAATTTAAAGATGGCTCAGATTAGCATGGTACTCGTATAATGACCTTTTTGTGAACAAGACGAATTCTCTTTCATCTTTTATTTGCCTGGTGTCTCATACTGGGTGAATTCGAGTGAAACCTATTGCTTCATAGCCGTAAAAGCAACAGGTGTGGCTCCGAAGTCTCCGAGTGTGGGTACAAGTCTCAAAGTTACATTTTTCATGTACTATACATGAACGATTGGCTTAAGATTTAAATATAAACTTAAGATTTTCAAAAATGTGTCCTGGTCGATTTTCATGCCATGCCAAGCTGACAGCAATGATTAGCAGGCTACGGGGCGGCATTAATAGCATCCTGAAGGTGATTGCGGATCAGCAGGATTCTAATATTCTGAAGGCGTATGTTCATGATCAAATACGACAGTGTCTTCTAATTAATGTAGTTCATTATTTTTTCCTCATGTAAACATAGTACATATGAACCTTGTCCGTGTACTGATAATATCATAATTCCTATTATTTATTACTTATTTTTATCCGTGTGGTGACGGATTAAGAATATGGAGTGTAACCACCCTTATTTATCTCGTGGGTGTCGTAAGAGTCGACTAATGGAGCAAACTAAGGAGGACAACAGCACTGCCAAAAGAAGGTAAACTTGAAACAAACCCTATTCGAACCCGACTGGCCAGCGTGGAATAGTAGGCCAACACCTCCTTTCTAATGAGAAGCCTATGTCCAGCAGTAGACTATTAAAGGCTGTTGATGATAATAATGTTGGTGTTGGACTTTATCTAAAATAAAGCTGTATTATTATTGTAAAGATCTGTTTCATCCGACTAATGTATTACTCAACATTTGTCACGTTACGATTCAATCAAGATTAGCGAATTCAATTGCAAGAGCCTTTTAGCTCTTTTTATGTAATTTTCGTTCTCAAGCTAGCAAAACATCGTAAAATCTTTGATGTCTAACTGGTAATTCGTTGTTTTTCGTCATATAGTAGTATATGACGAAAAACAATTATACAAGGTAATGTGTTAAAAAGACTAGTTTTAGACGATCTAAGCTTCAACTATTACTGAATCATATTTTGATACGTGTCATGTGTCTCGTCAAACATCCATAATTCGGAGAGAAAATACATATTCAATATAAAGTCATCTATTTGGTTTAACTAATTTATTGCGTTGATTAAAAACAATCTCAAATGTAGTGCACTTAAAAATGCTCCATTTAAAATAAGACAAATATAAATAGCATGAGTCACTGTTCTCACAAATAATGATGTAAGTGTATGTCAATGCGCAGACGCAGACTCTACGAGGACCGCCCACTAAACGTAAAAATGTCAATGTCGATATCTGACATTATTAAACTCTTTAGGCTGTGTCCATCATTAAAGTTGTACAGAGACCTTTGAACTATTGCTTATATTAAAAAAAAATGCAATATGCCTGCAAAATATGTCTAGATGAAGTGACGCACTAAAGAACGACTAAAGAAAGAAAAACCAAACTTTATTACACTGGCATGTTCATAGTAGCAGTGATAACATAGCTGACACGACGACAGCGACAGTAGAAAAAAACTTGGTGGCTAAGAGTTGGCCACCATTTGTTTTATTGTATAGGCTACAAACAAGAACACGTGTCACCTGATAATAACCTGACTGCCGCCATTGTCTCCCCAGAGTTAAGGGGAAAACGGGTTGGGCCTTATTCGGTGAAAAGCTTAACACCTGTTTTGTGTGAGGCCATTGTATGACTTTGGTCGAGCCGAAACATAGCTCTCCTAAATATAAATAAGGAATTTGGACAACTGGCACTACGGCATCTAGTTTCAAACTAAGTAGAGATTGTACTATACTAGCTAGATTGACTAATTTTTTTTTTTTTTCGAAACAACTCCCGCACTAGGAATAAATCCTGTGTCGCGGAGGACTTTACAAACATACATGAAACGGACACAAATAACACCCAGACTCAGAACAACAATTTGTGAATCGTGTCGTCCCATGTGGGGAACGGACCCACAACTCTCAGCGTAGTAGTGAGCGGCGTGGCGACCGCTTAAACCACTACGCCATCCGTGCAGTCATAGACTAATAGAATTCTTATATACTTTTTTTTTGTAGATATGCATATTGCGCATAGAAATTTTTCTATTATGTAACCTTGGGTAGGTTACCTTTTGATCGCCCGCGGTTACTTCGGACTTCGGACTACCGCGGATTCTATTGTGCTTAATTCTAACATAAAACATTTCTTCAATTATAGTTGAACTTTCACAACTATTAGCAGAATCAGATAATTGATAGTACGTTATTTAATAGGCTTTCGAAATACGATCCACGGTATAATGTTCTTATCCTCAAACAAGTTAGTTGATGACTAGTAGACAGCGTATGCAGAGATTGTTAACACAACCGACGATAAGATTTGATCGTATACGCCAAGACAAAAGGAGATATGGACATCATCATGACTGACATCGACTGCACGGATGGCGTAGTAGTTTAAGCGGTCGCCACGCCGCTCACTACTACGCTGAGTGTTGTGGGTTCGATCCCCACATGGGACGACACTTTGTGCAATCCACAAATTGTTCTTCTGAGTCTGAGTGTTCTTTGTGTCCGTTTCATGTACATATGTTTGTTAAGCCCCTGCGACACAGGATATTTTCCTAATGCGGGAAGCCGTGCTATCAAGAGTGATACGAGTACCACGGTGTTGCGAAAGCCGGTGTTAAATTCTTCCACTAGAGAGTCGAGCCGGCCCATTACTGTCGTAGAATAGCTCTCCGATGATTAAAAAAAACTTCTCCATTTCTCTTACAGCTCCTGTTCACATTGTCGCCGGGTGATGGGTACAACTGTCCCTATGGTCAGAACTGCGCGTTAGAGCCAGCTCCTCCTGGCAGAACACCCGACTGTGCTAGACCTGGCCTCACATACTGCGTGCATCCAGACCCTTATCCAGAGTACGTATTCACGAGTTTAACTTTGTATAAGAAATAGACAAGCACATAGTAGATTTTGTATTAGTAAGGCACCAGTGTATTACGAAATAATAGACACTTCTTGAAGTGTTTTCATTTAATCCTAAAATAAAAAGACGGAATTACGCTAAACTAAGTAACTAGAAGTTACTAAATAATTCCATTTGGCTAAGTTTAAATTGGTAAAACAATACATTTAATATTCATTTCAATGTTCTGTGTAGAATATATCTTCGACCGTTCTTGGTAATATTTAAGTAACATTAAAATCTTAAATTTTTAACTTCAAATGGGTTTGAAAAGTTTGAAAAGCATTTTTGGAGTGCTTTTCAGCAGGTGCTGCCATGGCGTGTGTTTCGCATATTTCAAAAACAGACTTGAGTGAACAGTATTTTTATTTGGCTATAAATGAACTTACCTAATATTGTTTAGTTTACCTGTTACCCATAGTTTAGGTAACAGGTGCTACTTACTATTATGTTTTATGTTATTATATTTATAGGATTAAGTACTCTATTGTCTTAAAGCTCAAGACACTCGGTGCAATTAAACATTAGTGCATAGATGTGCTCTTACAACCTATATAATTAGAGCTTTCCGATCAGAGCTGAAACTAAAGTTAGTATGCAGACCTTTATAGGAACATTCCCATCGAACTGATTTTGTAAGTAAATGAAAAGTATTTCTGTTTTCTTGGCGACCAACTACATTCCCAAAAGTTACTGACTGCTTTCCAGAAGAAAGCCAACCTATTAGGCCGGTGGGTGCAATTCTGTATCCTGCCCAGGAGCCCTATCCCAGAAGCTTCTGCTATACAAACGAGTATGAGTAACCAAAAATAATATCAAATTCTTTTTTTCCAGAAAAATAATCCGCCAGCTAATAGAAGCCGGTCAGTACGACATTAGCACTCTTCTCTCAGACGAGAGCAGAGATGAGTTCTCCCAGAGCAAGAAGCATGACTACCCGTATGACTATGGCCCCAACTCCCTCCCACATGTCGACCAGATCTCGTTAGTGAACGACCCTTATACGAAGAACAGTTATAATACTAAATTTCATACCAGATACAATCACGGTAAGTTCTTTAAATTTCATTTCATTTCATTCTATTTATAGGTTATTCATCATCATCATCAGCAACAGCCTCTAATGGTCCACTGTTGCACACAGGCCTCCTTAGAAAGGCAGTTTTGGCCTACTATACCACGCTGGCCAGACGGGTCGGTATAGGGTTTGTTTCAAGTTTTCCTTCTCTTTGCAGTGATGTTGTTCTGCGTAGTTTGCTCCCTTAGTCGGCTCTTACGACACCTACGGGATGAACAGGGGTTGTGACACTCCGTATTTTTAATCCGTCACCACACGGATGGTATAGGTTATTGTTTTCTTATTATCGGTATGTTCAATGAGGTAAGAATACCACGTTTTTACTTCAAATCCACCTATAAAATAGGTTTATTCTGTGCTTGTATTAATTATTTCTTTTAATGTGTTCTAGGCATATTCTCTCAAAAAACACCGCTACAGCCTCCTTCGACCAACGAAGCAGTCCCTTACAATGTAAACGCTTACCAGTCGTCAAATTTTTCCAAATTCGGCTTCCATGGTTACTCTCCCAACGGCTTTTGGAACCCTACAAGGAATTTCGGCGATTTCGACAAGAAGTTCCGCCAGGGCTCTCTCGGATTCAATCAGAATTTTTTTGACACATCCAATCTTTACCCTAACTATGGCAACAATGAGTGGCTTCGGCAGAACTCTGGTGTCACACGTTACAACCCTAATGAGTGGTGGAAGTAAGTAGAACTGTACTCGTACATGAGAGACTCACTAATGATAATTGTAGGATCGAAGTTTCTTGACATACGAAATTATGAAATATCATGACAAAAATTGAAACATTCTTGAAAACGGTGAAAGCCTCGCGACATAAGAACCGGCGGAATCACCAAATATCTGACTACAGTCACAACAATTCCGTATAGATGATGAAATAGCTTAAAATTTCGCATTAAATTCTAGGGAGCCATTATTTTAAATTATCACCCTAAGTGTACATATTTAATTTTAATAATATTAACAAGGATGTGTAATGATGAAATTACATATGATGATGATGAGTTACACATTATTGTTCTGTTTCTTTCTTAAACGACTTCAAAACAGGGGGAAGTTCTCAATTCAGTGTTTTCTTTTTATCCTTTATGAAGTGATTTGGTAAATCCTTTTTATTTGATGTACGGTACATTCAATTTTAAAAAAAAATAACACCCATAAACGTTGGAAAAAAATGAATGAAGAATACAATTTACATCTTCACTCATCATGATGTATTGGCATTGAAGTTGGTGATACTTTGTGGAAAATTAATTATTGTCGAATTTTATTGATTTAAATTACAATTACTTTTTGAGACAATGGATAAACTGTGTAAAAAATCATCATTAATAATCCACTGCTCGACATAGGTCTATCCTTAGCAAGGAGGTTAAATTGTTTTAATACTTGAAAATGTTATACGCTATGGTTAAATAGGTACGTGTCTCCTTCCCGATCCGATGTAACAATTGAACGCTCCGTTACTTTTCCGACGCGTACAACCACGTCTCGACGACGCAGGAATGCGGAGCTGGTGGAGGAGAGCAGAAAGAGAACGCTGACAGGAGCTGAGGCGTTGAGGATAGCTCTGGGACTCGCTAAGTGAGTTATTAAATTAGCTGGTAAACTAATAATGTCGTAAAAAAGATGCCTCGGACTTCGCGTCAATATTGAGTGAGTTAAAAAATATTGGACAATTCTACTTTATTTATTCGCGTTTTATATTATACACAATGAAATAACGAAGTTAAAGAACACCAAGATTTGGCGTAACTGTTTGCAGACTAGACAACATGGCTTATGGTCTCGTATGGGTATCGGCGTTCAGATCTGGTGAGCGGCTTGTACCGCAACATAATTTTATTTTAATTATTATTTAATTGACGTATTCATATTCACATCATATAATTATTCGTATTCATAAAGAAAATTCTCTAGTTGAGGGTAAAATTTAGTAATACTAAAAGAGAAAACATATTCTCCACTATTTTATACATCAAAATCAATTAAGAAATTATTTTGTATAACTCTTATACTTGTTTCTAATTGAATAGTGAAGACTTGTCAGCAGAACGACCAAGGCGGCAGGCTCCAGATCAACAAGAACTTTGCTCCGTCCGCACAGAGTTCACTAATCCTCGAGCAGCACTTAACAATAAAGGCAACTGGAAATACGTTGTCAATATGCCCGATAGTATGTCTCAGTTGGTGCGAACTGAAATTTGCACGTAAGTATAGTCACTATAACTCAGGAACAAACAAATAAGATGTGCAATTTGTCTTCGTTTTAAGTAGCGCCATCTAGGTTAATATAAGTGCAACATTAACATGCATGTTTAGTTTCGCCATCTGTTGTTGAATAGTAGTCAACTTATAATTTTCTTAAAATGTTTCTTGTTTAAAATACTAATATAATTTATATATTTTCATAGGTCTACCGAGTGTAGTGGTCTATGCACGATACCTCCTGGATACACTTCTCGCTGTGAACAAAAATACATCCAAAAACGATTAGTAGCGTTACAGTCTAATGGACAAAACTTGTATACTGACGTATTCTGGATACCAAGTTGTTGCCAATGTACTATTACACCTGATGGAAATTGAATTTGTATAAAATTCATCTCTTGTGATTTATTTTTAAAAATATAAATGACTATAGTATTTCTTGCTTATGTTGATAGTTCTACTATCGGTCGCTAGGTGGCTTTGGACTGTCATCAGTATTTAATGAAACAGGCATACCACTGACTGTTTGATCAAAATTCTGAACATGACAGACCTAATTCTAGATGTAATATTTGATTAAATAAAGTTGTTAATTTTTATAACAGTTATCCTGAGGCAGAGTATTATGTAATTATAATTTAAATATTACAAGAATACAGTAACAAAGTATTAATTAAAGTTATTAATTGACAATGTAAATATTAGTTTATGTTACTATAAGTAAAAATAACAGAGTACTATTTCTGATTAAATTTAATTTACATACATGCTTTTTGTCGTTCGCTTGCACCTTTTTTTTCTAGTTTATATATTATATCTAATTTGTTTTAATACAATGAGATTGCTGAGTTGAAGCGGCTCCAAACAGTGACAGTAGATTGTAACCACTTTTTTACTATCACTTTAATAGTTTTTTAATCTGTGTTTTTGGTGTTAACATTTGCTATTCTCTTTTCTCTTTTTACATATTTTCTGTTTGCAATCTTAATGAAAAGTATTGCTAACTAAAATTAAGTATAGCAAGAATCTGTATTATACTAAATCAATATTATAATGGTATTTATACTGTTTATTGATGGCACTTGGTGAAACTTGCTACCGATATTGAATTAAGTCACTTGTACTGTTCCACACGGCTAGCTTTAGGTCCGGTCAGGTTTTTTTGTTAAAAACTGCAAGTGACTATTCTATACATTAATAATGCGAAATGACTCGTCCGTGTAAAGGATATAATATAATAACGAAATTTAAAGGTCAAATCCTTAAATTATTAAAAGATTAATTGCTCAGATTGTCGTCTGGTTTCCGACTTGATAAATCGTCGAATGGTACGTTTTATCGGACATTCGTCAATTTTGGTTTCCTCAAACCAGCACTAACGTCGAGAAACGTATTTTCTTTTTTTTTTTGGTGTTTTCCTGCAAAATTTGTGTAATTTTATTACCTCAGAACTCCGCATTTTTGTATGGGACTAATCCCTCCCACACTCCCACCACTGTAACTCCTGTACACCAGGATTATCAGCAGTGACCCACGACCACACCGAGTTATTGTAAAGCTGAAGTCCCAGCAAGAATTAAACTATTGAAACCCGCAACGATATTTATCAGCAGAAAATTGGAGGAGTTGAAAGTATAATAAACTGCGTCATTTATAAATCGATTGGAATTTTTATTTTTTTTGTTTTGGGAGGTGTACATCCCGTTTAGTCCTACTCCCATTTGAGGAATAAAAACCATCCCTAAGGCTGGAAAATTACGGAATGATGAGAACAGTTTTCACAATTCTTCTTTTCGTCATTGCGTTGAAATTGGTTATACTGTTTTAAAAGTTAATTACGCAAAATCCACACATACTTCGGCTTTTAACTTCCAGCTAATTATGTACATAATGTAAGGTGTTAACTAATCCGTTGATATTCAGATATTTTGTCAGTTACTTTTACAGAAGGTGGCACTTGTACATGATGGAACGCGATTAACCTTAATGAACAAGTTATAAAAAGTGCTATGAGGTTGGACTTACTCATAAAAATGTCAATCGAAGTCCATAATGACATTGTTCACTTTATAAATTACCGCCAATATTCTGAAATATATTAAAAAGTCATTCAAATACATATGCAGTCTCCAATGAGTTTCTTGTTCGAAATTTAAATTAATTTTGATTGACCTGTTTTCCTTACTAGCCAGTTGTCAAAAGCTTTTTTATGTTTACTTGCGTACAATGTTTTTTGTCATTCTTAATAACACTAGGTTAACACTTGATTACACTGTTTTGTATTTACCTGAATTTTATTTAGTGTATGTGATAAAAATACACTACGCACACTCTGTTTGAAACACTTTAAATGAAAGTAACCATAATAAAAAACATATCTACAATTTTACTAGCAGTAAACTTGTAGATATGGTTTTTATATATCTAGAATAACCTTTAAACAAGAATCAAAACACAAATTGGTTTTAATCGTATTGATTTAAGATTTTTTCAAATAACTTGTTTCATTGGTTTGGATTTATATAAAAATGAGAACCAAACTCTTTATACATTTTGAAATATTCAAATTGTATTTTTTTATTTACATATAAGTTTGTATATTTTTATGTTAACAGAAAATATTATATTCATTTGCCTCCTAATAATGTATGTTTATGCATAAATATTTATATTTTCGTTATGAGTAAAGTAATAATTTTATGTGTATTTTAATCAAGTGAACAAAATGTATTATAAAAAGAAAACAGCTATGCCAGCTAATCCAGCTAATCCCAGACCACCATTTAGTATCCTGGGGATTACTTCACTCATCATCATCTTGATCTGTTTTATGTTTCTTTTTATTAATAATAATATGTCAATTTGAACTATAGCTTGTAAATGTGTTTAACCGCTAAACAGATCTCGGAACAAGATAAATGATAATTATAATTTAGTTAAATGAAAAATAGACTTAGTTAATATATCTTTATTTAATAAGTAACTGTGTATTGATGTTAACGATAAATTATTATCAGCTTTTTGTACATTCTGTTCTTAACTATCGTAAGTTTTAGTAAATAAAAATGCAATAAATCAGATATCTTTTAATTTCCTTTACAATGAAAAACTTATTATTAAAAGATTACAGGTTCTAGTCCAGCTTTATACACCTGTGTCACAATGAATCGCACTTCTAAGAAAAGTCATAGCAAATAATAAATGAAACGTTTTGAATCACAGATGAGTCACCAAGCTTTGGAAATCACCTAACTGTGACCCTTCTCAAGTCTTACTTAACTTATAACGTAGTTTTCTTGCTCTAAATATTCCGTGAGATTGGTGGCCTCTTAGACGCTGACCGCTACTGGAGTCTTAAAAACGTTTCGACTAATGTTTTAATTGGCTGCGATCAGTTTTTTCTACAACATAATTTCTAGTGAACCACTTCCCATCTTCACAATACCATTATTTACAGAAGTAAACTAATATAAAAGACCAACAGAACACTAGTATTAAGCGATACTTATTGGAATAAAAACCTACTGTCCTTACTACATTAAGTATACATATACTATATATATATTACATAAAAATAAACCCAAGAACCACATTGTTTGTTCTACTATTGAAATACTAAAAGAACAGATTTAATAAGGGAATGGACACACAGTCTGAGCGAATTTGAACCTTGCAAACAGGTGAGTGACTTCATATACAGGTCTAATAATAACAACAGACAATAATATTATTGCTTTTATAAGTATTTTCAGTCACCGGGACCTTTTATATTATGTATACTTGATTGACAACTAAGACATCTAAGTTTTGATGTTTTCTCTGCATCACCCAATGGCTGACTGACAGAAATTGCCTAAGACGTTGAATCAGCCTCTTTATAATTGTGTACATAAAGTTTAAAAAAAATTAGGACAAAAGCACTGCAAAGAGAAGGAAATCTTGACACAAACCCTATACCAACCCGTCTGGCCAGCGTGGTATAGTAGGGCAAAACCTCCTTTCTAAGGAGAGGCCTATGTCCATTAGTTGACTACTAAAAGCTGTTGATGATGATGATGATAAAATAAAGTGAACTATTTGATTTGGAAATTAAAACAGTTTTAAAGATTTATTAAAATATATCCTCGGACGGACCTCCCATGCGACTCTTACCTGCATATAGAAACATACCTGCTTTTTTATTTCTATTTACTATAAACCTATATAAAATTTATTATCTGTGATCCCCAACGTACCCGGTTAATAACAAAAGGCTTGCCTACTATGAAATAAATAAAACCAAACTGTAGTTGGCAATATATGGGTTTAATCCGCCCATAGGAATTAGAAGTATATACGAGTATATTTATATTTCGAAAAGCGTTGAGAGGGATTTTGTATTAAAAGCATGTATAAATCATCATTTAATTTATGTTGCGGACATCAAACAGACCTGTTGTACATATGCAACAGGTTCAATGTTTGACCCGTGCACGTACAGAGAGATTGTGCGCCCCATGGATCTCCCATCCAATTAATTTTTAGTTTAACCAGTTAAGGGTTGTCTTGGATATAACAAGTCTAGACTTTATTAAAAAAATAAGGTCCAGTCTACATTTTGTTTTAAAGAAATATGAAAACGAAGTGTGTAATAGTTTTAAACTATTTATAAGTAAAGATAAAATAGTTCAGTAATTCTTCGTCCTCTCTTTGTGGTGCGATTTCTTAGCAGTTTATGATGTTTTGAACACTCGAAGGAAAACGAGGGATGTTATAAGCTTAACCTGTGTATCTGTGTATCTGTCTGTCTGTGACATCATAATTCCCGACCGGATGGACCAATTTCGATGCGGATTTTATGTTCAAAGGCCGATGTGATCGAGATGGTTTTTAGCTATAAATTTTGAAGATCATCAGCTCACTTCCTAGGTGGTGAAGGGATCTCACTAAAATCCACATGTCCGATTGATCTGAAATTTGGTATACTGTTACTTTGATGGTATTTCCACAACCTGGAACTTGCTGCTTCATCAAGTAGTCTGCAGGATAGCCAACTCCTCAGAAAATTACAGCATATTTACCATATTTGGGCTTTATACTGTTTTTTTTTTGTGTCGGGGTTTTGAATATTGTGTTAAAATTATTATTACTTAATAAATAACTAAATATGAAAACAAATCTTGGAAATCGACACAAATGGACCGACTCGACCGGAGTGAAACCACGGCTTCGCAAAAAACCGGTATTCATTCATTCGTTGCTTTTCACCGAGTGAGTGAGGTTACCGGAGCACCCGATTCTGAAGTGAGGACTAAAAGGGTGACAATGCAATGCAACTCGAAAGTCACAAGTGTCCATGGGCGGCGGTAGTAACTTATCAACAGGCATCGTGATTTACCCTGATCAAATTTCGATCAGGGTCTCATCACTAGTGTCCTTTACACTTATAAAGTTTCTTGTTATTGTGTATTTAACTTGTTATCAGAGGGCTGAGTGCAAGTTTATTTCACAACAACTCACTCTCGACGGCGAGCGCGTTTAGCGTTGCGATTGGTGGAGATTTCAGTGCGGGCCAATCGTAGCTCCGAACGCAGACACCGTGACGATAGAGTAAAAGTAAAATAAAATCGCACTTGGCCCTCATATAGGTACGTAAGAGACGACTAAGGGAGCAAACCACGCTAGACAACAACGCAGCAAAGAAAAGGAAAACTTGACACGAACCCTATACAAACCCGATTGACCACTGTCGTGCCAAAACCGCCTTTCTAAGGAGAGGACTATATTTAGCAGTGGAATATTAAAGGCTGTTGATGATCACATTATACATGCAAATCATGAAAACGTACTTAAATCATTCAGCGTGTGTGTCTGAGTGTGTGTGTGTGTGTATATGAGTGTTTTACAATAACACTTCGTATTCAAGCTTCAACACAACTGTATTGATCTTCCTTTCTTTTGTTATCGGTGTAGATGTACGTGAGGTAGTGTATTCTAAGTTAATGAAACTTAATTATAGGTAAGTATTGTAGCACTTCTCTGTGTGCTTATACTCGCTTGGCTTTGTGGAAGCTTCCTTTTAGAAAAATAGTGAGTTCTCAAGTAAATGCTAAATGAAATTCTGGTATTCCGGATTTTACTTAAGGTTACCAAACAAGGTTAACAATTTTGACCGATTTGTTGACTGGATCATTTCTGCACAATAAGGTATTTTACTGATATCTAAGAAATTCCGATTAAGTGTGTCCGCGACGAAGTCAATGATGATGAAGTCAAAACTCTTAGGGTACTTTCTGAAAGAAAGAAAGCTGAAATTTGATATGTAAGCTAATATCAGTACACGAACCACAAAAAATTCTAAAACTTGGAACTTTTTTTTTTTTTTTTAACGTGTGGAAATCCCCTCGGACTCGGACCGACTAAAACCACACGGTGTGCAACTCTGCGCCTGTAATACCTTTTCTACCCCAACCCCTTAAAGGAGAGAATGGAAGTTTGTAAGAGTCTTGCACACATTTTGAAGCTAGAGGTCTGAAAATTAAAATAGGGCTCCTTGTAATTACTATTAAAATAAATATTTCAGAATTTGTAGTAAATCTACCCCCTTTTAAATTTAGAGATCGAATTAAGCGCTCACAAAGCGGCTTGTAGAGTTAGAAGCTTGGCTCTACATGAGATCTGATAACTTTTTGACAGTGAGAGCCATAAGGACTCATCTTGGCCACATCTTATATGAAAATGTTTAGGTAAGATCGTGTGATTTATCGAAATGCTTTAAGACTTGCATTTCCAGCCATAGCAGTTCGAGTTATAGGTTTTGTTCCGTGATCTGGTCTCGTTATGGCTTACATTCACCAATCCGTAATTCTTCTTATCTACTTTTCTTTTCGTTGTACTTTCCACTTTCCCATCTAATTCTTAAATGCTTGGTTGACGGCCATGGCCCCCTTTAACAATAATTACACTAAAATTACAGTTGGCAAAACATTGGTATTTAAAACATCTCTGCCTACCTCTTCGCGGATTTAGGCGTAAGTATAAAATATTTAGCCTTTTAATATATTATATTATTATTTATACCACTGCCTATGTTAGGCCGTTATTGAGATGACGGTCACATTTTGTGCGGTGTTCATGCGGAGACTAACATATTTTCCTTCTATTGAGTTAACGAGACATCGGGGGATGAAATCTCCGCGATTTGAAGGGGATGAAAATTCAACCCTTGGACCCGTAGGCCCGCACCCTCGGGGTTACTGAGCCTACCTTAACAAATTTTCTCTTAAGCTTAACATGTACCGTACCCGTGAAGGACTCCTTTGAAGTGTTTTCTTTTAAGTTGATTAGAGAAAACTTTGACGAAGAAATAAGCTAAAAATTTATTTTTTTCTGTAAAGTTTAAAAAAATAAGTGGTTTGGGAATGCAAATAAACATAAATTTTAATAACAAAATAACTCAAATGAATATCTGTTTATGTGTTACTATTTAATTTTTCATTTAATTGAAACTTAAGCGTCAGCACAAATTACAAATCCAGAAATTTTCTACAGTAAAAAAATGTTACGTTCCATTCATATCACACTAGCAATTGCCCGTGACTTCGCTCGCTTGAATGTGTGAATAGTTATGTAGCTCTCGGTAATAACATTTTCCCCTATATCTTCTTTTGTAGACCTAATTAAGTGTATGCATTTTAAAATTACTGTTTTAGGTAAGTTTAGTTAAGGCGTGAAAGCGTAACACATAAACTTACATTCTCATTTATATTTATTTACTATTCACTTATCCGTAATATATTTTATAATATCAAACATGTACACTATAATATTTACAAACATTTAGGCACTAAGAGTAAGCGCTAAAATTGACGCGATGTCGCTTTTAAAAAAATCGAGCAAAAAGTCGCTCGCACGCGTAAAAGTAAAAGAGGAAGCGGGGAAAAAAATCAATGCCTGCGTTTTATGTTCTGTGCGTGTGACAGATCCGTCGCCATGGCAACCATGACGGGGGCAGAACTAACCAAGAAAAAAGGTCCTATGTCAAACGCGAAAACAACAAAATGGCGGCTAAGCTTCCCGCGCAAAGTCGCGGTGTACTCGCTGTGTTCGCTTTTAAGCTTTTATTGTCTTCGGAAGTAAAGTGTGCGTCGTGCGAGCGAGAAGGAACGTGGGGTAAGGGATCCGGTAATCGATATTACGCACTTTTGTAGCAATGAAATTGGCGTGCCACGATGCAAGAACCACGTTTGCACGCGTTGCAATCGCGTACAAATGTTTGATCTTGTACTTTATAACAAAACTTCTTCGATTTGGTTATAACTTACACACATTACATTATAACATTTTTACGTTTAAATGTTAATGTGTTCATTCGTAATGCATATAATTCGAAAAGAAAAATCATAAATAAAAAAATTAATTACTTTCATCGGTTGCCCATTGTGCGCTACAATAGGAAAATCAATTACTATGCACATCCACGATAGCCAGATGTTACAAAAATGAGGTGTGTTATAGAAAAAAAATAACGTTTGCACAGAAACTGAGTAATAGATGCGTGGGTGGTGAAATTCTGATGAGTCACTTAGGTACGGGGCGCGGGGATCGGTTGCGGATTCATGCTTTCTTGGAAAGAAAAGTCCAGTTCTCAGAATTCTAATAATATATTAAATATCGTGTGTCATTTGCTCGGTAGATTTTGTGGAAATACACGAATGACAATTTATAACACAGATCTCGTAAATTTAAAAGTAAGTCTTAACATTTGATGTTTTTTTAATTAAAAGGCCTGTCAAACAATTCATAAATTTAAATTCAGAACTCTTCCTTGTTTTTTTTTTCTTGATTTTGGTGAACTTGATATTTGCAACCTTTTTAGTCAGTACAGAAACTAGGTGATTTTTGCAGAGTTTTTCCACAGTTCTAATGTAAAGTAAAACTTTCCTTACGTGGATTCGCTGGAGTAATCTTACTATAAGGTGGTTTGGTGAGGTGGCTAAAACGCACAACGTCGTATGGCAATAGAAGGACGTACCATTCATCTTGTGACAGGCCTTTTTGACACCATTAGCCCAATTTTTTAAAGGTTCTTTCGTACCGAAAAGTAATAGCTCAAGTCAGTAATATCTCAAGGCATGACATAGTGGACATTATTATTGATTCTCACTTATATTTATACAAATCCATACTCCATACTTATATTGTATAGGTATGTGAAAGAGAGTTTGTTTGTTTGTTACCCTTTCACGCCTAAACCACAAAACTGATTTAAGAAATTCTTTCACCAATGTAAACTACATTTTTAGCGAGTAACATAGGCTACTTTTTACCGCGATAATCGACAAACACGCACAAAGTAGTAAAATATATAATATTTCGATAGTTTACAAATGAATGCACATCTCACACACGGCTGTCTGACTGACCCCAAACTAGACAGAACCTGTACTATGGTAACCAGACTGCTGATTAACATACTCGTACTTAATCAGTATTTTAATACTTACATATTATAGATAAATTACACCCAGACACGTATGAAATGATCGAGTTCATCACGCAATTATTTGTCCTGGGTAGGAATCGAACCCACAGACTCTGGCTTAACAGTCAGAATCACTAACTACTAGACCAACAGCCCCGTCAAGAATATTAATTATTATTATTATTGAATATTATTACTCTTACTCTATTCTTTAAGTGCCGCTCCGACTTGCGAAGGTTGGTAGTCAACTCTGCGTACTCTTTCTTATTTTTTGATTATTATTATTATTGAAAAATATAGAAGATTGTCGTTTGATAACTGGAATTAAACAGCACGAAAATCTGTGCTAGAATATATTACCGTATTTTCTAATAAGATTCTAATAACGTTCAAAGATTTTGATTAAACAAATGATAGTAGTGGTTTAAACGTAGCTTTGTAAGTGTTCATGTAAATTTTGTCCAATAATTTAGTAAGTAGTTAATAGTTTACAATTTAGTTCTTGCGAACGCGTTCATTCAGAAAAAAAAAATATTCAGCTATACTAAGTTGGTGTGATAAGTAAATAAATGAAAGGCATGAATGTAAATATAGGAAACATTTTTTTTAATTTAAATAGATAAAAAAGAAAATTATATAGTATTTTTAATAGACAGGCCGGGCAAACAATTTATAATTTAAATTCAGAATCTGTCCTATTTTTTTTTATTTACAAACACATACAAGTCATACACTCACGACTGTAGCTTAAGCTGGAATGATTTTTATTTTTGAACATATAGATAATTAATTCCTTTCTTTTTTAAATATAGGCTGTCGAGGTGGGACTCATGGCTAAGTAGGTAGGGTAGTAAGGTTAACACATTGCAAAGTTAAGCAACCCTCGCCGGGTCATTCTATGGATGGGTGACCATTCTTAACACATTGAGACCCCTCCGTGCCTCGAAGAGCACGCTAAGCCGTCGGTTGGAGCCCTACAAAGTCCAACAACAGTCTTTGGTCAAACTAGTTTGGAAACAGGCTCGGAGGAAGGTTAGTTGTTGAGGTACAACCTCTCTATCTCTTTTTTAGCTACAATAGATCCACTGCGTCGTCTTTCAAGAGACGTGCTAATGACTTGGCAGTCCTTCCCTCCTCAACCGAACATTTCCACGTCGGCGGTCGATTCTATGCCATGGTTCGGCTACCCATGATACCACGGCCTCATAGAAAACTGCTGTTAAGCGATTGTATCTCTTGGGTTGATGTTTATTCGCAGCAGTAGTTGCATGCAATAAAATAATTAAACAAATCATCACACATCATAACATCAACAGCCTTTAGTAGTCCACTCCTGGACATAGGCCTCTCTTTAGAAAGGAGCATTTTAAAGCAAGATGCGCAAGATAAATTTGAATAAGAATTACTTTTATTTATTCAAATATTTAAAAAAGAAGGAAATAAAAAAAGAATTAAAAAGGAACATAAATCATGGATTGCTCACAGAATAGATAATATCAGTAAACAATCCGTTTATACATTATAATTTAAAATTTGAAAAAAGAATAATATATATTATAATATATAATATTATAATGATATTATAATATAATAATAATACATTTCAATACCATAATTTAGGTCTTCCAAGATTACTTCGTGGTAAGGGTCAAATTACTACTATTCACAGGAGTTTGTATTAAAAGATATCTGCACACATAAAATATGAGGGGATCAATTGAAAATTACTTAGTCAAGTGTCCTAGCCCTTGGTACAGGTCCAGGGGACACCTCAGCTCGCAGATTTAGACCGAGGGGAGTACAGTACCGTCACCTATAGGCGACACTACGGACTGGGGTTCAAACCCTCTTTGCACCTTACATCCTGAACGCAAAACAATCGGAAACATCAACCTGTTGTGAAATGGGGACGACTGGCTCACCCTCTTAGCGAAAATTGTTTAATAATTGTATTAACCCTTCAAAAAATTTGCTATCTTTTGGGACATCCAGATCACAAGATCTAAAAAAAATTAAAGCTTTTTTAAATGTTGAATATTCAAATAAGAACTGGATATTTTCGTTAAATCTACAGAGAATTTAAAAAACAATAAAATGTTTGAATTTCGAAAAGCGTAAATCATAATTGTTAGGAACACAAACATCGGGTGCAAAGTTGCGTACGGATCGATAAAACGCCGACACGAAAGCTCCAAGTAAACAGATCGAAGCTTTAAGCGAATGTGCTCCGAATCGAATCCCGCCAAATGCAACGACAGCTGTGCGTAGCTCGTAGCGCGTAGCCGGCCGCGCTGTGTAGAGGCGGCGCCACCGGCCGTATTATTATTATTTGTAAACAAGCGTGTGCGGGCGCGGGGCGCGTCACGTGACCCGCGCCGCCATTGGCCGCGTCGCAGCTGCGTGCCCGCCGCGCGCGCCAGTCCGCCGCCACCCGTCGCCGCGTACACATGCACGCACCTCGTCGCAGAGCGACGCGACACGCGCACCACTGACGCGATCGCGAACTCCGATTCCCTTTTTGTTTATTTTTCGCTTGCGTCCTTCGGACCGTTTTGTTTCCGAGGCAGCGAGACGAAGAAAAAAAGGAGGCGCGGATGGATCGAGCGACCGGAGAAGGTACAGAGTTCGCGTCAGTATACAAAAGTTTTGTACCGAAATGTGCAAGTGTTTTGAAGTAGTGGAATAGAAGCTTGGTTTTTGTGAATCGTTTAGTTTGAGGTATATGTATAGAGCGATGGCAGCAGAGCGTGAAGCGAGGTCCAGTGCGCCTTTCGCGTGCTTCCGGCAGAGCTTTCGTTGTGTGCTTTCGCGAATCGATCCTTGTTTTCCTGCTACGCACTGTTATACTTACAGACAATTTATAAACTATTTCTTTGTGAAGCGTTCAGACGGAACTGCATCTGTATTGTCTCACGCTTATCTGAAGCCAATTGGAAGTAATCTTGTTGGTAGTAATCAAGAGACGTGCTCGTTCACAAAGTGTGTGAGAGTTGCAAAGTTGCGCGTCAGGAAAATAGGGATAGCATCCGTGGGCATGTTGCGGTGACGCATCGGTTGTCATTGTCTGATGCGCATGATGTCACATAATTTAGCCTTTAATGGTAGTGCGCAAAATTAAAGTGGAAATGCAATGCCTGTAATATTTTTAATAATACTCCTAATAATAAAGTGCGAAGAAGGCATCACACGAAAACATGTATTTTATGCAACTAATCCAGAATACTCATGAAGTTTTCCTCTATGATCACGGCAATCATAAATTCAGGTGGATTTGATAACGTAATTGATCATTCAAATTGCAGTTTAAGACAACTTTTATTACCTTATCTAGTTTCATTAAAGTTTATTTTGCAAAAGTATAATCCCGCCGTTAATCACTCTTTATATCTATAAATTCAAGTTGTTTATTATTTTATTTTCATGATTCTTCTAGTAGTTTTTACACTTAATTCTTCTCTGTCCTTTTTGTTATTCTTCTTCTATTGTTTGATTTTCCAATAAATTAAAACATTGAGGATTAATTACATTCTTCTTTGAAAGCCCTCAATCATCTTTTCTTCATGTGTGTACCTGTAGTTCCTGTGAATTAGGGATGTTACGAAAACTATACCGTCATATAAGCGTTCTAAAAGTTTTAGAATATTGTCGTTATATAACTTCTCCATTGGATATTGGAATATTGGAGCTGAATACTTTTAAGTGCTAAAGTTTGAACATAATCCCGGTCCCACGGAATAATCGAATAAATAATACGCCTTCCTCCCGTGAATGCGATAATAGGGAGTCAAGTTCAGAGAGGCCAATGAAAACAAATAAACAAATTGGCCAATTTCGCCGGAGCTAACTGTTCGTACATAACGAGATGAGAGCAACGCAACGGATTGTGCAATGCTACGTGCTTCCTTTTTAGTTGAACAAGCGAGTTATGTTTCCTCTCTAGTTCCAGATAAATTGTGTTCAAATCCTGATTTAGTCTTTGGTATTATGATGCATTTGATATGATTACCGTCGAAAGTACTCGAAGGCAAAGTCGCCTTCTTCGGACTCAGCTATCTGAGGATTAAAGTAAAGTTTTCAAGTTCCTAGAAACTAAGCGTTTTGCAGAATCTTATTTTGAATTTAGTGAGTATTCCAGAACTTTCATATTATAAACATTTGACTCTATTTTCCCATGGATCATCTTAAACTCTTATTGGAAATTCTGTTTTGCATTCTTTATTGGTTACAAATTCAAATATCGCTGTTATTGCCAGAAGTAATATCATAAGTTGATTCATACTTTCTCTGAAGGATAATCCTGCTCTTATTGCTACTAAGCAATAAGAGTAGGATTATCCTTCTGAGACGCTTACGACATTCTACTAATACATAGCTGCAGATGTATGGAAACACTCGTCTAGGTAAAAGTTTAAAAATCGATGTAGTGAAAAGTTTCACCAAAATATAATTGGTGTGGTGGATATTTTATTTGGTTAGGGAGTCGCGACGGTGAACGCTCGCTTTTCAATGAGAATTCGGTTTTAAGCTTCTGCAAAACGTTTACCGTGAAAGTTGATATTACTTTTTATAGTTCCAGCTACTCATATTCTTGAAAATTTCTGTGGTTTAAGGTAGTCTTACTTCAACTAATAATATTAAGTTATTTACGTAAATGGAAAATACAAATTTAATTTCATCGCGGATAGCCATTTATCATGAATGAATATTCCAAATGTTAAATTTAATTTCTTTACTCACGTGATAATAATTTATTCAGTATTCGTTTTAATGTTGAATAATAGTTGTAGAGATTATTAACGTTTTTGAATTAAACTTAATGACTAAATAAGTTAAAAAAAAGAAACATTTGAAAGTACCCGCGGTGTCAATGTGTAAAGGAAACAATACTAAATCATACAATCATCGTCATACACATGTGACTTCCTTCAAACAATTCCATCTCATAGGTGCAAGGAGAAAAAATGCTCAATTTCCGATGTCGCATCCGATAGTACGGACAGACGTACCTACAAAAAACCTTTACAAAACTGTATCGACCCACATCATCACACGTTTTAGAAATTCTAATTCTCTTTATTGACTTGTCTTAGAGACTCATTTTGAATGACTTTGATGGCTATAAACTGCAACAATAAGATGGTAGAGGTATTAAGGCATCAGAAAAAGTTGTAGTGTGGGAAAGATTGTCGTAAAAAACACAACATCTGCGTCTCTATTGAACTGGATTCGAGTGTCTGAATGGGATGGGACGGTAACTCTATACATGACGCTGCAGCCTTATCATTCTAATGTGTTTTAATTTTGATGGACTTTTTGATATCGTGCGCGATTTATTCCTGTACTTTGTAGAGATTATATTTGGAAAAAAATTAAACTCAAGTAGTAGTTAAGTGTGGATTTGCTACTTGCGTTATCGCTCGTACTAGCTGATTCAAGTATTTAAAATTGAAGAATATATTTTTGGTTTTGTTATAGACTTCTCTGAATCAGATTGCTTAAACAGTTATGTAAAATGCATATTTTTACATAATTGTAATCCTTGTAGTTATACAATGATAACGAAACCTTGTCTACAAAATCTAAACAAATTTTGAGGACCTGAAATTATTGTTAATTTTTCCGTATTAAATTTATAAATATTACTCTGAAAATACAGATAATATTTTACAGTAAATCAGAAACTACAACAACATATTCAATGGCTACAAAATACATGGGAATCATTAGAGATCCAAGACTGGCAAACATCCTATCTATACTCGTATTTAGTTTCAATTTATAAACAATTATAATAATGGGTATTTACCTATGAGTTGGAGATTTTCAAAACCAGATTGAATTATCTGTGGATTAGCGTACCATTCAAAATTCAATTTCTTTTTCGAAAGCCATATTATTTTAATTTAAAATTCAGACATTTATTTTAGACAGTGTTTTGTTTTTGTGAAATTGTGGTAGTTTTGTTATATAAACTGAAAATTCGTACAATTTTCGAATATGAGTTCCAACGTAAAAATACCGCTCCGCAAACAACACGAAACATGAATAACGTGTTCGGGCCTAATACGGCTTGCATAAATATGGTCCATTATTGGTTCAATAGTTTTAGATCTGGAAATTTTGAGTTGAAGAACAAGCCTCGTGGTCGGGCGGTCATTATAGTCAACAATGATGAATTAAAAGCAATAGTGGAAGCGGATCCAACTCAATCTACGGCTTAGCTCGCTGCGGGTTTGGAGTTAGTGTCAAAACAATATTAAAGAACTTGCGTCAAATTGAAAAAATAAAAGATAGATAAGTGGGTGCCACATAAACTATCGGCGTAGAAACGATTGAATTCTGAATCAAATTGTTACCTGCGATGAAAAGTGGATCCTGTACGACAATTGTAAGCGTTCGTCTTAATGGGGAGAGTCGGGTACAGCACCTAATCAGTGCGCTAACAAATAGATTACACATACCCTGGTCCAACAGACAGTCACCATCATCGGACCAGTGCCGGACTTGTTTATCACAGCTTCTTACCGATTGGCACAACAGTGACGGCAGATGTCTATTGCCAAGAACTGCAAACAATGATGGACCCACCACCACTGGTCAATCGCTCTTCCCCATTGCTTCTCTACGACAACGCGCAACACACTTTACGACAGACCATCGCAGAGCGGACTGTCCCCTAACAGATTTCTACTTTTTTCAAAATTTAGACAATTTTTTAAGTGGAAAAAAATTCAACACCCGAGAGGCAGTACAAAACGCTTTCGCTGACTTTATCACATCCCGTCCAGCAGACATCTATAGTAAAGGGATAAATAAACTGCCATGAAAATGGCAAAATTGTATAGATAATTTGGGCCAGTACTTTGATTACCTAAAATAAAAAATGACCAAAATTTATATATTTTGAACATTTTTGTACATATCTCCAACTTCATAGGTAGAGACCTAATATTAGGCAGATATTTTGTTACTGAAAGATATAGTATGTGAGTTGAAACACGAGTAATAAAAACATGGAAAGATTTGATCATAACTGAATTACTGGAAACTAAACATCCATCGTATCTTCTCCGAGGATTTTTTCCCAACTAAGAGGTTGGCTTCAAGTCTATTACGTCATCAAAACTAAACACCCATCGTATACTTGACATAATTTAGTGATAGATAAAATTGTACCAGTCGGTATGTCGTATAAAATAATAGAGCGAGAATTGAATCCGCGTTCGTGTACCGGCAATCAAACTGATGTACGTATCCTGTCTGCTGTGTCATTACTACGGATTTGTAGTTGCTGTAGTGTGAGAAACTGCCATTCAAAAAACTATGACATTTTAACAAAACATTTGTTTTGTTTTTTTTTAAACATAACTTCTAGTAAAAGGATTATTTTCCTTCATAACTTGTAGTAAAGGAGCTTGGAATTCTTGCTTAAAATAGAATTACTCCAGTAATGCCAAGTCCACTCAATAGATATAAAGATATGTAAAGAAACGCTACATAGATCATTCTTTTCCATTTTTAAAGTCGTTATTTCTTCCGTCTAGTATCTTAACTTTTGTCAATTATTACATATAAGTGAGGCCATGATACCGCTTATGTCTGTTTAGTTTTCGGCTCAACTACTTTACCTTCCTAGCCTTCCTGAATCAACATTTACGTATATGGATAAGTAATACACCTAGTTTACATGCATCATATGTATAAGGCTCACTTTAGAATATAATTAGTTATATGTTTTACACGTGAAGAGTTAAAAAGGAGAATATATCCTTAAGGTCAGAAATAATTTTCCAAATATTTTTTGTTTGATCAAAGCTACATTTGTACAAAGCTACATTTTGTTTTAAACTTTTAAAGATCTTTTAAAATGTTATTATGTTTTTAAAGTGTGTCTATCTTGTTAGGTTTTTTTATTTCCATATATGAAATATGTCCAAGTTTAAAGGGCTGTTCGTATAAATAAGTTCAAAATGGTAGTCATTTCAAATTTCTTTTCACGTGACCCTCGAAGCAAAATGTCATATAATAAAGATGAACAATGCTCACTGAAAATATTAAAGACTAATTTGATGCTTCATCATATAACGAGGTATGACGAATCTTAACACAAATCACTTCTTAGAACTCGAATAATTTAATAAAAGTCAATAACTCTATTGTTTCTATCTTTGAGGTTTCTATCTTCTTTAAATTTCTGTTTTTTAGAAGCAGTTAATATACAGAAACTCTGTATGCTATCGACTGCGGAATCAAAAAGAGGTTTAAGGTTATAATCGATGATATTGGAACTCTTTACGAACAGTAGGTATCGTTATCAGTAGATTATTATCAAGTGATCATTGAGTCTAAGATATCGGTTTCCTGTACAGGTATTATACGCGACCGCCGGATGTTACTTTGTACACAGCTGGTTGGAGAAAAAACATGATTATATAGGTAGTTGAGTTAAATTAAAGTACATATTTGATGTTTCTTTGTATGTATTTACAGTACAGTAAAATGAAATGGCTATCAAATCATCTATGTAGGTAAAATACCCACTAGCAATTCATTACAAAATAATTGCACTATAACAAATGTATTAAAACTGACTCTTTATAGCGCGGAGAGAAGACAGACACTTATCTTACTCACAAACATATTATCCACATTCTTCAAACTAACAAGATTCAATGATTTCCAAACTTCTAAACGCAGCGTTCGCTGCACCGCTTCGAGCGTCGCACAAAAAAGCGACAACATCCGACTCTAAAAATAAGCCGTATAATTGCAGCTCAAAGCTGAAAGCGCAATGCTTTCGCTGCAGCGGTTGTACGGTTGCCCTTGACAACCGAGACCCAGATACTATCGCGTTTCACGCACACCTTTGCACCCGCTCACATATGTAGGATACACGAATCCTTCCAACATACACGTATACTCGCTCGTACACATATTTACAGCACACATATGAACGCCTTGCGTTCTGAAGTGAGCTTTTTAATTTTTTTCGAGGAACGTTCTTTGTGCGCATCTACAAAGAGTTTTGCCCTGTGATTACTAGTCGGGACATTTTGTAGTGACGGTGATGTAATGCGGTATGATTTCTGAACGACAAAGACGCTGTTCGAATGAATTGTATTAATTTAATTCACTCATACAAATTAGTGTGGCCCAATTTTTTGGTATGTCCTGTGTTTAATTCAATATGCTACATCAAAATATAATTTATGGAATGTAAGAATTCTAAAAGACATTAATTTGATATACTTCGAAATAGTGAAGCACAAAATCTTTTTAAGTCTATCAGAGAAACAGGCTATATAGGCATTAGAAGGGAAGCGAAAAAGTCGAAACAAGCGAGTTTGCAATTTACTCCCTCTTTGTAAACGAAACAAAAGGCATTTCTTTTGATGCGCCTCCTTTGGAAGCCTTAGTTACGGGCTCGATTCGGAAAAGTTTTATAATGAGTAGGGGTTTTGATCGATTACGATTAATTGAATTTGCTCGAATCTCCATGGCTCCACTAAAAAAACCCACAAAATTAAAACTTCTTCATCTATTAATCATAAATACAATTAATCAATTTTGAACAGCAAAATCAAAAAGAAAGAAAAAACAAACATACCAGTATAGCGTTACTAAAGAAAGACGTCAAAAATTCTGCAAATGAAGTGTTCATCGATTTCAATGGCAACGATTTAAGCATCGGATATTTTTTTCGTATAAAATAGACTCTGATAAAAATAGTAACACCTGACCAACCCCATTCAATTGTCAGTTGGAGCAATAATTTTGGATTTTTAAATTTAGAACAGCACGTGGTGGGCAGAATAAAATTAACTGTTCTATTTCCCTTACGCTTTTTTTAGAAGTCCTTTACGTAGGTTGAGATGATATAACAAGAATGAATGAGATGATATAACAACAATACGCAGAAGTAAACTTATTTTATTATTTCTATTGTTTGCCATATCCATTACATACTTTATAAATATGGAAATAGATATTTATGTTTGTATGTTATGTTACTATTTTGCGACAAAATCGCCGATTTAATGGAAATTATTCAATAAAGATTGATTCTGGAATTCAAAGTGGTATAAAAGCATTTATTATTCATGAATATAAAAACTATTTATGCTGATAAGCTAGGTGCTACTATTTATGCGGACATCGATTTTTTTGCTGCAGAAGCCGCAAGTTAAATTATCATTAATATTTGCAAAGTGGAAACATCCGCACAAAAGAATTTATTACACAAACTTTGAAATATTTTTTTTTGGCAATTGGTACATGCCATTTTTTTTAGTCAATCCTAAAATGAAACATTAATTTTTAAAACAGTTCAAAAGTTGCACATTCCTTTAACATATTTCCTTAATGTGTCATATCGAATACCAATCAATGAAAATAGACGGTTTTAAATTGAAACATTCAAAAATAGTTCGCCCTTAAAATAGTGTAACCGAAATAGAGCGTGGCATTAGGCAGTATGTCCGTCCCCTTCTATTAATAGAGTTTGTTTACTTCACTATGATAAAGCTACCAAATGAAATAGTTTCTTAATGTAAAGACAACGTTACACGGAAGCGTCTCCTGAAATTTATCATGTTATTAAGATCTAATTTTATTGTTATTTCATAGATCTTAACACATGTCAAAAATAGTGCACCAAAAATGTTTTTTGGAAGACTAGCTTTTTGCCATCGGTTCGTTTATATTAATGGAGATTCAAATCAATCATTGTAGTTGAAGGTAGAACCTTATGCCCAATAAGCCTACCTACCCTGACAATAAGGTTCTTTTTTATTATAATTGTTTTAAAGTATTTTTTGCGAATGATCGAATTTTATCATGGCTGTTCAGATTATATCCATTCTCAACCTGAACTTGGTTTTAGATAAAATATAGTTATATTATTTTAAATCATTTTATTTATTATTACTTACTAGCATTACATTTTAAAACAAATTTATTAATATCTGTATATCGCTCCTCGGACTTTGAATTCTTTGCTATACATTAAAAGTGTTAAATTTAAAAAAATATGTACGTTGTGCCGAGGATATATGATTCAAAGTGATAAAACAGTACTACCTAACTAGGTTTACTTACAGACGTTTTGCGCTTACAGCTAAATGCAGAATCGGCTGCCTTCACAGTTCCATTCAACCGCCTTTAATAAATCTTTATGAAAGTAATCTCTTCATTAGGTTTTATCACATTCGATCAAACAATGAAATTGTTCACGAAGCAAGTTGATCTGATAATTGTTAAGTAGAAACTTAAATCGATGCCTTAAATACTGTTACACTACTGCGTGAGTTAGACATAGACCATTTTATTACACTACCTCCTTCATGAAAGTCTCCCAGCAACCTAAAGGTCCGTCCACATACACAAATGCCTACCCAACTCTTGTTTAACTTCCGATTTTGATAATAACTATTAAAGTTAGTTACTAATCATTAAACATAAAATAAATATTAATAGTTTCCTATAGTATCGTTGTTTTCTCCATTATTATTTTTCTTCGTTAAATTTCTTGCACGAGCTTGCACGCACGACTATCGGGGTCAGGTTAAAGGGATGAGGGGGTGTGGGGTGTGACGTCACCCCGCGAAATGTTAGCGGCACATGACAACGTGATTATCGCGCACCGCCAGTTTTATCAACGCACATTAACGTTGCAAACGATTTGCTAATGTTAGTTTGGATAACGTTGAGATATTTAAACGAATATATTGTGTATAAAGTTAGTAGGTTATATAAAATGTAATATATTAACATCATTATATAGGTTTGGTGGCTTTAGTAGTAGTAGCTGTAATACACTTACATGTGTAACAAAGAGATAATCACAAGATCATTTTAGGGTTAAAAAGTTTAGGGTTGTCACATAACAAACTCCTATGGCTTTTTGTTATAGATTGTTTTTGCTTGTTGCATATTAATTAACTTGTATAATTTTCAAAAGCAAATAAGTTATCAGTTGTTTAAATTTGATTAATAATTGACACTGCATTGTGACACAGAACTGGTTAAACTTATTGTTCTGAATTAAGTTAAAAATTATTCAGAAACAGGCCATTGCATCGATTCGCGCTCAATTTAAAACACGAGAACACGCATGCGCTGTCCGTCGTCGTTGTAAACATGTCCGGGTGGCCAATAACTTGCGAATTTTCTTACCTCCCTTTATTCTTCCTTGTTCACAATTTACATCGTTCCCCTATAAAACGTCCCAAAGTTTCATTTCAATTTTCTAGCAATTTTTCCGCTACAGTTCATATGTTTTTGTCGACAGATTGGTGCCGGCCGCACGGATAACCGGCTACGTCATCGCCTCGTGCGCCGCAGCAGCTGAAACACGAACAACCAAAAGCCACTAAATCCTCAAACCAAAGCCTCCAGTCATATCTTTTGTTTCGAAAATTTAAATATAAGCACTATTTTTTAACCTTTTAACGATAATCTAAATCGTAAATAGTATACGCTAACTCCCAAACAGTACAAATTAATTTAAGTCTGAATTGATCGGTATTTACAGTAAATAAGCCTTCGAACAAACAAGAAATCAACCAACGACCAGTATTTAAACGTTCCAAAATAATAGAAATCGTTAAACGAGTGCACAAAATATTTTATCGATCGTTAACTTTATAATACGAACCGAATCCTCAAGCATTTTGTAAAAAAGTCAGCCAAAGATTTTTATAAGCCTTTAGACACTAAGTGTTCGTGTAAGTTAAACTGCCTCTTGTTAAGGACCTTTTATATTTAATCCTTACTGGATAACGAATATATTGTGATTAGTTATAGTGTAAACCAGTGTGCCGTATAACCGTAACGTTTAAGTGCTATTTAGAAGAAAGTAGACATTGATAAAAAAACGGAGCCACGTCATAAAGTACAAATTGCAAGTTCCAGTGCAGTTCCGAGTGTTCAGTACAACAATAGACTTAGAGCTTATTTTTATAAGGGTTTTATTCGCGTGACGCCATGAGGCAGCGTCGCGGCAGAGCGTCATGAGCGAAACGCTCCGGAGCGAGGCGGGCGCGGATAGCGCGCATTTACCGCCATTCTCCACCTTCGGCGACATGGCCGAAAACGAACAACGGATCCTCACGGCCGACGGCCGTCTGCTGGACCCCGCCTGGGAGTACTACGAGCGGACGGGTGACACGATTTCAGTTATAGCCAGTCAAGCACAATACCGACCCTGGGAATCTATGCCCATTACGGTCAACTCCAAAGATGCAATCCTGCGGGCAGGCTTCTCTACAATGGAGTATCAGCCTGTCACTCTGCAGCCTATAACAAATAAGCTGCCATCCTTCCAGAGCCAATTCCAAACATTTCCAGAGACATCGGTGATACCAGAAACGGGTCTGCCAAGCGTGACACCTGTGCCTGTCACGGCGAGTCCTACGCCAAGCGCGAGTCCTAGTCATTTAACACAACTCACGCAACTTACAACGCCGTCATCGCCAGCACATCTTACCACACTGGCGCAAGTCACACCACTATCAACGACTTTGACGACACTATCACCTGTTAATGCAACTACATTCCATACTCTAACAGCTGTCAATGCTAGAAGCTATCCAATAGTACCAGCTCCTTTACAAGCGAGGGAGCTAGTACCGCCAGCTGCACAAACATACATAGATGACCGCCACATACACTTATACCAACCTAACATCGCTACTATTAATGCTTTTCCAGCTCAAAATGGCATTTTACACCAGAATGGTACACTCCTACATCAAAACGGAAGCCTAATACAGAACATACAGAGTCCTACTGTTGTTCATGTGTTGAAAAACGAACCTTTTGATGTTAAAGCGCTACAAGACAAATATACTCCGAACGGACTGCATCACGCGAATTTCCAGAATCCGATGTTGATTGATAACGGTTATGGAAAAAAGACGAATGGATTTGAAAGTGGTTCGTCACCCACAAGATCGGATTTTAGGAAGAAAGAGAGACGGAAAATGCGGGTTAATAGTACTGAGTCAGATGGATCTAATATGGAGGTTGGCTCTGAAAGTAGTGGGCAGGTAGCAGCGGTTTCATCTACAGCTGGGTTTAAATCACCGATGCATGGAGCACCACCGATGGCGACTGGGCCCATGGAGCTCGATGACATATCCAGTGAAAAACAGGTGAGCATTTAGAAATAATATATTTTAGCGTTAAGATTGGAAAATATTTTATTTTTTATAAATAGTTTTTTGCAAATTCTTAAAATAGTTTTGATAGTTTAAACAGATGTACACTCATGAGTGTCGTTAAAGACAGCTTTGGATTATTAGGTTTTATTATTTGAAATATCACCTCCGATAAATAGTCTGCTTGGGGCGGCTATAGTTGATATCAAAGCATATAAATATATGTTGTAATAAAAAGATGTGTATCGCAACAAAATAAATTCGAAAACGACACCTAATCTTCCTTCCCACGAATTGGCGAATTGCGTAAACAAGCCGCACGAGAATCGAGAAAAGCCGACTGTATATTCGACGAAAGATATAAGAATTCTCAGAATTTTCATTCGACTACACGCCCGCCGAAAGTGGATATTCGAGAGAATCCGAAAAAGAGAAACTTTCCCCGTAATTCCACCTTTTATTATTCGGGGAGCAGTTTTTATTCCCGGTCTTGAGTTTCGAAATGGCCGAACTCTCTGTCTTCGCGGCTATAAATTTAATAGTTAGCCGATTCTCTTGCTCCGCCAATAAATTAACTTCCTCTCTCGTTTAAAACACAAATTAAAGTTGGGCGATTTACGCGTGTCCTGCTTAGAAAATTTTATGACTTTGAAATTTAACAGCGAATGCAATTAGTAGGCAGTTTTGAAAAGCCCTCGATATTAACGGAGTAAGTAGGTTTTAATTCTGGCTCAGTTTGAAACTTTTCAAGTATACGATGAGTAAGCGCCATTTGTGGAAAAATAATATTGTACTTCTAGGTAGTAGGCCAAAACCCCCTTTCTAAGGAGATTCTTATTTCCAGCAGTGGACTATTAAAGGCTGTTGATGTGATGTGTGATGTACTTCTAGGTGATCGAAGAACACAATTGAGAGGACTGTAGTCTGACAGTCTCTAAGTTTCTCAAACACTCACGATTTATTTAAAATGTGTATTGATCCTGGCGAATGTTAGAGCCCCAGATATCTATATAATATTTATAACATTCAATTAAACAAATTTCAAGTAATCTGCACTTCTTTTGTAATTTTATATAGTTCGTAGTAGTCAGCACGAAATACTTGAACAGATTTTACCTTTACAATAACACTTAGCAGTTGTTTAGATTACTTTGTGAGAAAAAGTAATAGACCGATAATTGTTATAAAACTATGATATTTATGTTACTTTCTGAAAGATAAAAATCTTACTTTCTATCATCTATGCTCAAAGATCATAGAGCATAACAAAATAAAAAATAAAAACTAGTTCAAGTGTTACCATACTTATAAAAAGTTGATGATTAAAACTTAGAAGGCTAATAGCGTATTAACTAAATGTGTTTACTTATAGTCTACTCAATAAGAAATTCCAATAATTATTTTAACTATCTTTTCTATTTTAGAGCGAATACTTCCATAAAATGTTGTAATTGAAGTCAGACAACAATTAAAAAAAAAACTTATCTAAGTGCAAGAGGTCCAGGCTATGACGGTATGACGACATTCTTTACACAATAAATGTCAGCATTTCCTAGTCTAATAACGAACACCTTTGCTCGCTCGCAGCTGCCATTGCCATCGCAGCTCGTCATTTCCACAATACACCCTAATTATTATTAGAGACACCTACCCGATTAGTCGATTCTCGATACTTACTAGACGATCATTCATCAACTCACAGTGAAATTAAAACCTATGAATGGTAGAAAACATATTAGGTTATTTAACATATGTATTTTGGTTTTACTGAGTTCTAATTACGTATCAACAAAACGGTTTTTTGAGATAGTTAGGTAATTGAACTGAAAGATATTTGCAATATGCCTAACAATTAATTATTTCTAGTTAGTTTTGCCTATTATTAATATTGAAATGCAAGTTTCATAATTAGATACTCTGAATTCATAAGAATGCATTCGTATTGAAACAGTTTTAAATGTGCTTTGTTCTTCTATAAAAATAACTAACCCACATTTCTAAATAACAAAACTAAATAGAAATAGAATCTGAAGCATTGGTACAAGCGTGAGTACTGTGATGATTTCATTTGAACCTCTTCGAAATAAACATTTAGTTAACCATAAGAGTATTCGACTGCAAAATCTATTCACGTGCAATATTAAATCTACAATTGTACCACCATGCAATCATATAATATTTATGTTTAAATTAACGCGTGTTATTTTTCTGATTTTTACTTTCTGAATAACTCGCCAACTCGACTAGTATAATAGTCGAGTCAATTCACCAAGAAAGGACAGCTGCGGATAACTATCTATATAAAACTAAATCACCCGTTATCATGTTCTTCCTGCAATAATGTCAATCAACTTAATACACTATTTATTGACCCTCTATTAGAGTAACAAATGCAGTAAATAGCCTCCATCTTTATGCATTATTATTATGCATCTAAAACACAGTACCTAGTAATCAAAATAGCGTTTAATAAGCCACAATGATGTTTTTTTCACTTGATTTGGCAACCATGCACCCTGTTAACTACCTGTGACTACAAACAGTTTTAAAAACTCCTCGCTATCTTCTTTAGGTGTAATATTAAATAATATTAAAATCACGATCTTATGCAGGCTAAAATAACGTTACAAATTACTGGGCTCCAAATTCTCTAAATGTATAAAATGTAACATGTACATGCATCATTCGGCAACGCACTAAAAAATGTTTATCTTTTACCTGCATAGTTTAAATAAGTTTTTTGCATTCTACTGAATGTTGCTAGATTATTCTTTTAGGTTATAATGTAACACTTATGAATGTCAGAAGCTATATTTGCATTCATTAACATTCAGCCTCAGGTTCGTATTGCTATAAGTAGAGTCAGCGATCAGAGAGCCATGCAATAAAAACACTAAATTGCGTTTAATTACAATTGTTGAGTTTACAAACTTAATCAAGAGGCAAGATGTTAAACTCTATAATAAGATCCTCGATATTAAAAGTAAACGTAAAATAAAAAAATACAAGTATCTTCTACTCGTAAAACTGCAATGCCCTTAAACATAAAAATGTCAAATCAATAACACATTTGTGTTCTGATAATCGTTAAAGAAGAAGAATTTGACATTCCATGCCATAGTGAAGTTAAAGTGAAGTCTTGCACTCTTATCATTAAGTCAATCAGTAAATATATTAGTTTAACGCTATGACGTAAATAAATTGACGTCATAGACAAGATCTCGCAACATTATACACAATAAAGGCGTTATTGATTCTACAATCCTTTGCCACCTAGTCATAGTAATTTTTAATTTAGAACATGTCACAATTGACACATACCACGGGCATTTTTATCCATGATTTTTCTGTAAATTTTCGGGTGACAAATGTCGTACTGTCTATGGTTATAAACAGGACAGGACCGCTTAAGGACTGGTAAATTCCAAAATATCCTGTTAAGTAATAAAATAGAAAATGTCCTTGCTTCAACATGAAAATATTGTATTGTATAATAATGTATTACGTCACGCTAGACCACATTTCCCTTCGTCATAGTCGGCCATTACTCATTATGCGAATGAGTCAAATGGGGAAAATCCAAAAGCTTCCTAGAAACGTTAACAAAAACATTAGGAAAAATTAAAGACATTTCAATTAAATTTAACAACATAATGTTAATGTGTTTACTTTTGGCTACTAAGAAAACATTGTAAGTTTACGCTGCACCTGAGGACCGGGATGTGGTTTTAAGTTCTATTTCCGATCATTAATTTTGCAGGTTCTATGTAAACATAATAACTGTTAGTAAAAGAGTTTTCTATTTTTAATGTAAATATTATTCTTTTTTAGCAACGCATATGGTCTGCACTGTACATGCCTTCACGGTTTACCGTCTCTCACAAAATTACAATAAAAAAAAACAGTGAAACATGAATATAACGAAATAGTTTTCAAGGAAACATATAAAGGCAATTTTAATTTGTTTATATTGTACCTTTTAAGTTTATTTTCGTATAGTCCTTTGGTCAAAACTGTTCTGTCATCAAACGCGTTATACGTTGGGTAAACTATAAAAATTATCGCACAAAAAACCTATTCATCTAGTAAAAAGTAGCGGTTAAGAATGAATTTTAATACAATTCCACATTTAAATACTCGTTCGTTGTTTATCAGGGCCACAATTGGATAATTCCGATTACGACCTGAGATAAGCGCGAATGCAATTTTTTTTCGTAAAAATGATTTTTTTGCAGTCTCACAGCTGTTGTCTATATAAGGCTGTCACAAAAAAATCGTTTTTAAGGTTTCTAAAAAATACATTGCAATATGTAATGCTTACTTATGATCAATTTATAGTATCGATATAATTGCTATGTAGGTATCGCTACATGAGAAAAATAGATAAATATTATTTTAAAATACGTTACATTCGATTTCAAACGGGAAACAATATAATCCATATCAAACTTGTTATTTTCAGTATTCTAATAGAGACAAAACTGCCTAAAAGCCTATCTACTAGTTTTAACTTCATCCTACAAAAAGAATTTGCAGTTTAAACGCAAAAGTCATAACGCGAATATTTAAGATCGCTTCGAATGAATGCGCCGGCGCAGAACCGAGACGAACCACTATAATGAGCGCGGCATACTCCGAAATTGTTGTCTGACCAGTAATTGCAATATCCCTTTCTGTTGGTTCGAAAATGCCAACCATTTGTTATATTTTCTTTCCTTTCTCACCCGCATCAATGTTTTAGAATTTACAATGTTGATGGTTTTACAAAATGTTTGCCGCATTTGGCCAATGTTATGTTACGGGTACGTGAATGAATCGGACATGCAAACAACGGGAATGCGATCAGATATGAATGTAGTTAGCAAAAGTAAGACCCAGCAAAGTAGAGTTCTTCTAATTTATTGGATTAACTCCTTCCTCATACCGGAAACATAATATTTGGTATCGTAATCGCGTCGGTTAATGTACATCTTTTTGAACTTTGTTTTATTAAACAAATTTAATTTATAAATGATAATAATTCTGCAAGTAAATCTTTTCAGAGATTTTTACAAGTCGGACTTTACAGCTAATAGGCGGTTAGGGGTCAACCATGCAGGGACACACTCTGATTGGGAAGGTCAGAAGGGCCTTCCCTGTCTTGTTAACATAGCATTACCACAGTTAACATAACATATGTAACTAACGGGCTGTTATCTCTTGTTAGAAGGAAGAATGTTAGAATTTCTCTATTTAAATGTATATATAAGAAATCAGCCAAAACCCTTCACAATTTTAAACATTTTTTATGGGCAAGCCAGCAGACGGATCATCTGATGTTAAGTGACCACCGCCTATGGACACCTATAACTCAAGAGTCACAAGTGCGTTACCGTTACAAAAAAAGTAACTACCGCCACCACCCCTTTTTTTGTCTGTGCTGAAATCACCTCGAATACCCGCCACCGGTGGTTATGTCGGACATGAACTGACGAAAAACTGCACGCCGTCTCGGGTACCAGTAGCTGGGGAACCAGGTGTACCCTAGGCAGGAAATCCTTGGCGTTTTGGTCTCCGGTAACCTCACTCGGTGAAAAGAATAGCTAAACAGCGTTATCCTGTGAGACCGTAATATCACTCTGGTCAAGCCGGCCTATTTGTGCCAAGGCATGGCTCTCCCACGAAGACATTGTAACGATCCCAAATAAGATTTGAAAAACCTAGAAGTTAATAATGTACGAACAACTACAATTAGCATTAACTATTTATAAGGTATGTTTGTAACAAACGGTTACTTTAATAATAAATCAGTATTACTGTTCACAGACAAAGAAAAAGCGGAAACGTTGCGGGGAATGCATCGGTTGCCAACGCAAAGATAACTGCGGCGACTGTGCGCCGTGTCGCAACGACAAGTCGCATCAAATATGCAAGCAGCGACGATGTGAGAAGTTAACGGAGAAGAAGGTAAGTCCGTGTGCCATTACAGGCTAATTTAATTCTTGCACTTATACGCTTTAAATACTTAATCACATCAACAGGACAAAGGTCGAAAGGATTAATATTTAAAATCTAAAAAGCCATTTGTTTTCGTGTTACACTCGATCTTATTAAGAATTCATTTACGAAATGTCTATGAGCAATTATCCAGGAATTAAAAACTAATGGATCAATAAAGGAGCAAACTTAACACCTATTTAAAGCTGTTCTCTGAACACATAAAATCATAAAAGAAAAATACTTCTAAATGTAGGGTAATCTCACTGTTATTAAGTATTGTTAAACATCATATAACTTAAGGGTAATGCGCGTTAACTCCGACGTTCGTTCAAGTTAAACGTCCATCACAAACTTTTCGTATTTTAAAGTGTAGGCACCGTATTAGTAACTACTTACTGGACTATACCTGACAGTGTTCAGATTTCAGAGTGTTAAAATAACGAGACTCAACAGGACTTTTAAGTCAATTTAAAAATAAAGAAAGTAGTTGGAGGTTAAAATATCACTTTTCTATTATACCTAGTTTTTAAGTTGTAACAGTTTTTTGTCTACAGTTATTAACATTCAGCAAAGTACGTATCAACAACACGATTTTCGATTTCAATACGATATATTATACATTCGATAGAATTCAGATCAATTTCATAAAAAAATGTTGAATCGATTTGCGAATGACGCACTTAGCTTGTTCTCGCGGTGTCGTTGGTGTTATTTGCATTAATTTATTCTGTAGCGTGTTTGTCGACATTTTGTGCGACGTGGTGATGTTTGACAAGATGGCGGGTGGCAGGTCAAACATGTGATGCTAAGTACAAGTGACATTAGTCAGTAACGCAAATTATATAAAGATTTAAGAATTTTGTGAACATATTTATTCAAAGAACCTTAAGCCTAAGAAATATAAACAGAATTACATTAAAGCTTTCTAATAAAAAAACAAAATTTAGTGCAAAAAATTACGCTTTATTCCTACAGTCATCAAAATCGAATTTATCATCTACGCAGAACAGAAATGGGATATATTTCAAAACAAAACACAAAGATAAGCTTATTAACATAAAATAGCAATAAAAATATAACAACAAAATTAATAGCCCGTGAAAAGAGCATTCGCACTCAGCTTTGTATACGTACATGCTAGCTCTACAGCTCTTTTTAATTAGGTCGCGTATATTTTAGTATAGATTTAAGTGCGTAAAGTTTTTCCCCATTGTCTTTATTCCATTCCTTTTTGAAGAAATGCATGAATATTTTAGATCGTAAGTACCTATAGATCGCTGAACGAAAGCATTTTATTCCTTTTTATGGCACAATTGATGGGACAATATATTTTATATGGAACTTTAAAATACACTTAAACGATATTTATGCTTTCAATTACGAGTGCAAAACATGTGGAGTAAATGATTTGTGTAGCTTTTTTATATATCTGTAAAAAACTAAAGTAATGCATGATTTAAGTCGCTTAGGTCATCGCTAAGATTTCCGACTGCTTGAAAAATTTGATGATCTAACATTTAAATGAATACTCCAAAGCAGACATTTGTGTTTTTAAATTAGAACATTACTGAATTGTTTTCTGTATAATATATTATCTATGTAGTTCATTTTTTTCGTGCTTATATTCATTTTAATTTACTTACCGAATTGTTAAACATTTCCAAGAATCTCTATTCCGAGAACAAACATATTAAATTTAATTTTCAGTACCTTTTAAGATGAGTGTATTTCGATGTGGTTTTGGCTACCACATGTAACAAATTGTAATGTTATTTATAATGCAGAATGTTAGATTATTTTTATAATTTTCCTACTATCTACTTCAGAATTTTCTATACACTGTCTTGGACTATTTTGATAATTTTTGATTTAAGAAAGGCAAAGGCATTGTATTAAAAAAAACTCTAACAGTCTTAGAATTGCTGCAAAATATTTTTAGATTTGAAATGCAATGCAATGCAACCAAAAAAATTTGCTTACACGCGGATAAGCAAATTTTACCACACAAAGAGTCATAGAGAATTTTATTTTTTGCTGTAGGCCACTAATGATTATATTTACTTACATGTATATATATCTCCAAATCATTTTCTTCCATAACTTTAAAACAAGATATAAGCTTTAATATAACTACAGAACTTAATATAATCGTTGTCTTATCTTCTTATTAAAAGGCTATTCTCAAAAAATAGGTACTAAAATTACTCAGATATATTTTTTTCGTTACCGAAAAAAGTTTTAGCAGAGAAAGTGCGAAGCGAGAAACGTACTTGACTTAATTTACGATTATAAGTTACCGACTGCGAAGTAACTTTAGCAAATTAGTTTTAAAACAAGCATCGTAAAGCTTTTTGGGGGGATGGGTGGGGCCACCTTTGTTTTTAGTCCAGGAATTACCTTTATATACGGCCTTAGTGCCTATTCAAAGTAGTCCTACCTGGAATACGTACAAACTTTTTTAGTTTCAAAATAACTGAGATGAAAACTCTAAGAGAGCGACTGTGACAAATGGACTTCGTTAAAAAGTATGAAGATCTAGTGGTCATTTAAAACTAAGTTTGAATTATAATCAGAGACAAACAAAAGTGTTTACAAGACTTTTAGATTAAGGTTTTAAGTCGTCACTAATTTTTTTATGGTATACGGGGGTAAACGAGAATGGGCAAACTCAAAAGTGTTAATAAATTAGGGGGTGGGAGGGTTTGTTTTCCCGTAGCCTCACTCACTCGGTGGAAAGTAAAGAAAGAATTGATTAACACCTGTTTTCCTTGGTATCATTTCGGTTAAGCCAGCCTACGTCGCGTCCTGTCGAAGCATGGCTCTGCCATGTACTTATCTATGAGACTTTTCAAATACTTGTAAGGTTTTTTTGTATTTCGAACAATCCCATTCTACTTATGCTTTGCCCTCAAACTCTTAATGAGAAAATTTAAACTGTGTTCTTTTAATACGACTTTCAATTAACTTGTTTAAAAAAACACTACTGTTTAGACTTTTAACGATACTCGGAATATGGTTCATTTATTTTCGTATAATCGTTGATTTATCCATAACACTTAAGATTTAAAACATTACAACCTACAATAAAACAAATTCAGTAACAGATTATGACATTTAATGACACCAAACTATAATTTTAAAACGACTGAAATATAAATTAATAAAAGCCAGCACCATTGAGAACTACTTTAAAATAATTACTAAGTTAAATAAAACACCTGGAGTATGTCATAAAAGTACTACAATGTTGCTTCTTGCTAAGTGCTTCTTTATTGCGGTTCATATGGGGGTAAATGTAGATCTTATCTATTCTAATCTAACCTTCTTTTAGATATCTAGAATGTTCTGAATTTAAATTTAAATTATTAACTTATAAAAAGTATAACTGACTGTAAGTCTAACTGAAATGCGCTGACATCCTGATGAATTGGAAGTCGTGGATTTGATTCTCACCCAGGACAAATATACTGCGATGAGCACTCTTGATGAGATGATCATTTGTTCTCTGTCTGGGTGTAATTTGTCTGTAAAATGTATTTATTTAGAAATATATAAGTATGTTTATCAGTAGGCCGGTTATCATAGTACAGGCTCTGCCTAGTTTAGGATCAGACTGCCGTGTATGAGCTGTGTAAACTTATTAATTTTGAAGTAAATTCTTATTCTTTATACCCTTTTTTCACCCTAAAGGGTGTAAGATTTTGTTCAAAATTGAATCGGACCAAAATGGGAGGTAAACATAAAAAAAATTCAAAGTCGGTTAAGATACCCATGGCAAACGTAAATCTGAAGTAACAAACATAAAAACAGCCGAAATGAGAACCTCCTCCTTTTCGAAATCGGTTTAAAAGCAATGGAAAGGTATTAATTAAGTCATTTCGTTCAAAAACGATTTAATCATGTGGATTGCAGCTCAAATTACCTATACCTGTTAAAAATTATCTGCGTTCGTGTTGAAAAAAAAGACATATTTGTTTTAACTATGTATTAAAAAACTATTTCTAGTTTCTATTATGAACAGAGGCTATTCTGTTAAGATAATAAATTATCCGCATTTACGTACACTGTCTTTTCTTTAGTTTAGATATCTGTGCAAAGCAGTCTTGTTATTTTGGGTTTTCATTTATATTTCGGAAGTCATAAATAAATCAATTTGTTTTTAATTTTTTATTTAAAAAATCAATAAGAGATTGTTTATTTATGTATATTAATATTGCCATATGTAAAAAGGGACATATTCTTTTCAATAAAGTAGAAAAAAGGTTATCAATATTTAAAAGGATCGGTTACCTTTTTATTTAATACCTGTGTCAACAGAACTGTTCCAAAAAAACATTCAGCTGTTATTTGGACACCGGGGGCTTTTCTTTTCTGAAAATCTTCGTTATTATTTATATACGGTTCATATGTCGCCCATATTATCTGGGCATGGCACGAGCGCAACGTGCGCGGCAGATGCTTCGCGCATGCGCCGTGAGCTCCAATCGTAGCTCGCCGCCTGCGCATGAAACGCCTCTACCTTTTATCTGATTGAAGCTATTGTTGGGTAAAAGGTGTTGTGTGACGTATTTGTTATCAGACCAGGGATACAGTACTGGTTTTTTTAATATAATTAAACTTTATTCTTTTTGATACTATTTTGTTTGATTGAGACTAAAAATCTTCATTAGATTATTAATTAATAACTTAAAAAGTAGTTACTATTTTTGAAACACAAGAGTTCTTAGTTTGAATATGATATAAATACATATAATCTGAAAAGTAGGTATATAAAACAGTCATGTCGAAACAAAGTAACTGGCAATTTCAGCACAATATATTTCAGCCGATGACATAAACGCTCTCTTTATAAAAATACATCTGACATGGCTTTTGTTCTTATTTTGAGTGATGTATCTAAACAAAATGAATAAAACAAAAACAATCGATATTAAGTCTCTTCATGTTTTATTGAAGTAAGCTTTTCTTGTTTACGGATAATACCAAATTTAATG